TGAATGGTTGCCTTAGTTTGGGCTGGCTCCGGCTCGGTTTCGCGGATTTTGAATGGCTGGCTTGGCTTTGGGCTGGCTCCGGTTTGGTTTCGCAGTGAGTTGTGATTGGGTGGCCTTGGGGTGGGCATGTCTTCACACTATCGCGTTCAGCTGACCCGTGCTACACCCTAAACCCTAAACCCTAAACCCTAAACCCTAAACCCTAAACCCTAAACCCTAAACCCTAAACCCTAAACCCTAACCCTAAACCCTAAACCAGCCCACATTCCCACTCCAGGTCCCTCCAACCAGCATCAGCGAAGTCATCAGCTACACCATCTACATGGCGGACAGGTTTTGGGTTCCGGGGTTTAGGGTTTAGGGTTTAGGGTTTAGGGTTTTTTGGGTTTAGAAAGTTTAGGGTTTAGGGTTTAGCGCTACATGGATGCTCGAGATTGGGAGTCTATTCAGGGTTTCGGGATTGCATCCCAACCCTGCACCAGAAGCCTGGGGGTAGGCGGCTGGGAGATTTCTCTCTTTCCCTTTTTTGGGTTGACCTAAACCCTCACCCTAAACCCTAAACCCTTTCCCCTAAACCCTAAACCCCTTGGGATATTGTATATGTTCCCTTTTTGGGTTTAAGACGATCATTTTGAGGAACATTTTTTCAGAGAGTTTTTTCAGGGGCCATCCGAGGTTCGAAAGGACTCCTTCTTGACTTGAACTTAGGCGCAATTGGACATGATTGTTATTTTTTGGGTACTCTCATACCCTAAGAAACCGCAGACAAATGTGCTTTTTGTTGGGGTTCCAAGTTCAGTATAGTGATGCGCTTCTCCCTGCTTTGACGAGCCGGGCCCAGTTCCGGGGGTCTCTTTTGCGTTGGGCTGCTTGTGGTTTGAGTCTCTGTTGCGTCTAAGTACACAGGACGTGTGCATCATGTGTGCATGTGCACAGCATGTTTGATAATGCCCTCTCCCTCTCTCACTCATTGTCGCTCTCTCGCTTCCTCTCTGTCTTGCGCTTTCTTTGCCGCTCTCGCTTTCTCTCTCTCTCTTTGTCTGTCTGTCTGTCTCTCTCTCTCTCTCTCCCTCTCTCCCTCCCTCTTCTCCCTCCCTCCCCTCTAGGGACTACTGTGTGAGGGCTCTGTCTCTGTCTCCCTCTCGCACTGCCTCCTTCCCTCTCGCTCTTCCTCTCGCCCTCCCTCTCGCCCTTCCTCTGGCCCTCCCTCTGGCCCTCCCTCTGGCCCTCCCTCTGGCCCTCCCTCTCGCCTTCCCTCTTGTCCTCCCTTTTGCCCTCCCTCTCGCCCTTCCTCTCGCCCTCCCTCTCGCAAACCCTCTCGCCCTCCCTCTCGCCCTCCCTCTCGCCCTCCCTCCCCATCCCTGTGACAGCCAGAAAGAAAGAAAACAAGAAGGAAAAAAGGAAAGAAAGAAAGAAACAAAGAGAGAGAGAGAGGGAAAGAGCACGATAGCGAGAGCGAGAGCGAGAGCGAGAGCCAGAGCGAGAGCCAGAGCGAGAGAGCGAGAGAGAGAGAGAGAGAGAGAAGCGAGACACTGATTACAGGAGGGAGGGAGGGACGAAGGGAGAGATCTACGGAGGGAGGGGCGTTAGATTTTTGGCAACCCTCCAGACATTGGGCCTCGTTCAGGTTTAGGGTGTAAGCCCCTAAACCCCTAAACCCCTAACCCCTAAACCCTAACCCCTAAACCCTAAACCCTAGACCCTAGACCCTAAACCCTAAACCCTAAACCCTAAACCCTAAACCCTAAACTTTCCGGGATCAAGGTGGCTTCAGTTGCTTGAGCCTACGCAGGACAGCGCCAACACGGCCACTAGCCGAACCACACTAGGCGCGGCCGGGGCTCCTCTCGAACCCTTCAACCTCGGGGTTCTTAGTAGGGTTTAGGGTTTAGGGTTTAGGGTTTAGGGTTTAGGGTTTAGGGTTTAGGGTTTAGGGTTTAGGGTTTAGGGTTTAGGGGATATAGGGTACCTCATTTGCCCCATTCCCTACTAAGAACCAGCAAGTCAAAGCTCAACCCCCAGAACCCTACAACCCCCTTGGTAGCCCAAGGGGGTACCCTTTTCGCTTTTTTTGGTTCAAGGTTCCCTGCTACAGGAACCAACCCAACAGAGGGTACCCTGATTGCAAGATTCTTACTAGGCTACCAAGACCCAAACCTTGAAGTTTGTAACCCCGTCGGCCGACACCCTGAAGCCGATTCAAGACCAAGCCGCTTTCAAATCCCCAGAACTTTGCAAGCCTTTGGCTCCGGAAAGCCCAAAGCCTACATCCATCATGTTGGTTCTTCTGAAATCACAAGCACACGGCTGGAAGCACGCGCGATCTTCAGTCACCCAAGGTACCCCGACCCACCCAGAGAACAATTATGATGGATGCATGAACAGCAGAGGACCCACACAACCCAACGTCTCTCTCCCTTACGCGCCTTACACTTTCATCATGGCGATATCTTCAGCGCTGCTCAAGACATACTTTCTCTTCGGGGCTTTTGGCCCTCTGCCCTCTATTGCTCTCTACGTCCTGTTCCCGAGCGACACGGTCGAATTCTTCAACGGGGCCCCTTCAAAGACCGCCTCGTTTTGGTGTTCGACGAACGGAGCGGCCGATGCCACCATAAGCTTCCTGTGTTTCGGGGCACTGATGACCAAGAGTGTCGAAGTGAAGGTTTTGGTGTTACGTGCGTTTGCTGTGTATGCCATGTTTCACTGGGGCGCCTTCTGGTACTGGACGAACCATGGCAACCCGCATCCCGACGCGCTGGCGAAGGGATACCCTGTGAGCATTGGAATCAGTCTGGCAGCCGTGCTTTGGTGGGGTTGGCTCTATCCACCCACGGTGGAGGAACAATATAGTCACTACGAGAACATTGGTGAATAGAAGGCTGTTTGAGCCTCGAAAGAAGGCACGACATATGCTGGTGTCTTGATAGGTGAGGTAGATCTACCACAAGCAACCAAACTCCGATTGGGAAACTCGACCAGCGGGTAGTATAACTTTCTTCAAATGTATGCTTGTGCCAGATTCACCCCGTCTTGGCTGCTAGCTAGAGCTAGAGTGTGGGGGTTTGGTGCTTCGGGGGCTTTTTGGAGACCTAGCAAGCCAAAGTCTATAGACTGTGTGGCTTTTGGGTCCAAAGCTCTCAATTGCTTCGTTCCATGAGTTCCATGTAGAGGAGAGCGCTTGCAAAGCCATGCCCCGAAATAGGCAGCTGACCCTTACTACCTGCCTACCGCCCCTCACAGCCTTCCCCCATGGCCTTTTGTCCCTGCAAGCCCCCCCCCCCTTTTCCTTTGAGCACTTCGCCCCTATCAGCCCTCTAGGCCTTGAATCCCAAGCCTTTTAGCTTAGGGTTTTGGGTTTAGGGCTTAGAGGGTTTAGGGCTTATAGGGCTTCTAGGGCTTTTCGGGCTTATAGGTCTTATCGGGCTTAGGGGCATCGATGCCCTCATCAAGCCCCTGAACTGCCGAAGGCACCGTTGCAGTCGGCACGAACTCCCTGACCGCCCCGTGGCGTGTCCTTAGTAGGGTTTAGGGTTTAGGGTTTAGGGTTTAGCGTTTAGGAGGTTGCCATAATCACTATTAAGGACGGTTAGTATACGAGTGAACATCCCTAGACACCAAAGGATTGCTGGCTGAATCCCTCACAACGGGATGGTCGTAAGTTCATTCGGGTTTGGTTGTGGGGGGTTGGCTGTCGCGGGTTCCTTGTTTCTAAAACCCTAAACCCTAAACCCTGCTACAAGCTTTGCTTCTTTTTGTGGCAGCTCTTTTGTTTCCGGGCCTTCTCTAGTGGATCTCTCTTAAGCGACTCACTAGCTTGGGAAGGGCCTGAGGTATCAGAAAAGGCTAAGTTTTTGGGGCATTAGGTGACTGATGGCAGAGTTCACCCTTTCAAGCGCCGAAAGCCCCAAGCCCCTAAATTTTATGAACCCGAAGTCCCAAATAAGCCCCAACCGCCCCACAAAATGAACCCCAAACCCTAAAACCCTGCCCCTTGCAACCCTAAACCCTAAACAATAAGCCCAAAACCCAAAATCCTAAAACCCTTGCAACCCTACACCATTAAAACCCTTAAAACCCTTAAACCCTGAAAACCCTGAAAACCCTTAAAACCCTTAAAACCCTTAAAGCCCTTAAACCCCTTCAAAGGGCCCTCGCAGACGTCACAGGTGCCGACCGGCACGGTGACGGGAAGCTCCTCCTCGCACTTCTTCGTCCACTCCCAGTCCGCCCTTGGCTTGAACCCCAATGGCGCAGGCGAACTTGCGGGTTCGGGGGGTTTGAGGAGGTTTAGGTTTTAGGGTTTAGGGTTTAGGGTTTAGGGTTTAATTAGGGTTGAGGGCTTAGGGTTTTGGTTCGGGGTTTTGGGTTTTTTCAGGTTTTTTTTTTTGTTTTTTTTTTGGGGGGGGGGGGGGGGGGTTCATGGGCTTTTGGGAGTTTTGGGGAGTTGGAGTTTCCGGGCTTTGGGGCCTTAGGGGGTTTAGGGTTTAGGCTTGTAGGGTTCTACAGGCCTTGTCAGCCCTGGATCCTAAGTAGGTTTCGGCTTAGGGTTAGGAACCTACAGCGGAGAGGCTGTTCTACATAAGTTAGGTGTCCTGTGCTCAGGTGCGGCGGTATCAGCACCCAAAGGGGGTGAGGGACCATGACTCTGCGTGGTAAGCATGTTGGGAAGCCTTTGCGACCAGAACAAGAGCCTTCTATAGAACCTGCAGCTAATCATTAAAACTTGTTTTCAACCCTAAAACTAAACCTAAACCCTCTAACTTGAATCCTAAATCCTGAACCTCAAATCCTAAACCGAAACCCCCAAAACCTTCAGGCTTAAACCTTCACACCCTAAACCCGAAACCCCAGATTACCAACCACGTGAACTTCAAAATCCTAAACTCTAAACCTTTCAACCTTAAACCCTAAACCTGAACCCTCAACCCCAGATAGCCAACCACCAGAGCAGTCCCACGGACAGGACTGGAAGTTTGCGACGTGTCGTCCGCAGAGCCATGGCAGCCGGATTTAATCCAAGGGGGCGCTTTCGGAGAGTTTTGAATCTTGTGTGGTGTGTGGTTTAGGGTTTATAACGTTTATAGGGTTTGTAGAGTTTATCGGGTTTAGGGTTTATCGGGTTTGTAGGGTTTGTCGGATTTGCAGGGCTTATGAGGTTTTAGCAATTACAGGGTTTACAGGGTTTACAGGGCTTATAGGGCTTCTAGGGCTTGTAGGGCTTATACGGTTTATAGGAGTTATAGGGCTTATAGGGAGCCGAGACAGCTGCGGCGAAAGCGCGACCGAATGGTGGGCGGGCTGCGGTGAGGGGGTGTGGCTTAAAGAGGGTGTAAAGGGTCTGTTGGTTGTATAGGGTTCATAGGGTAAAGGGTTTATAGGGTCTTTAGGGTTTATAGGGTTTCAGAGGTGGTTGGGGGTGGGCCTCGTCCCGGGACAAGGCGGGAAGCTCGTTGGGACGCGTCCTCTTGGGTTGGTGGCCCTGCTGTCGCTAGACCCGAAACGCTAAGCTGCTAAACTGCTAAACCTTCCTGTCGGAGATCCACAGCCATGAACCCCAAACCGTAAATCCTAAACCCTAAATCCTAAATCCTAAACCCTAAACCCTAAACCCTAAACTTTAAACCCTAAACCCTAAACCCTAAACCCTCAGCCGCCCCTGGGTTCACAAGGACAGCCTCTTCCTTCAGAACGCCGTGGCGACCACTGCGCCCTGGGGTGTGTCAGATCTCAGCTTCCACCGATTCTTGGACTTAGCGTTTAGGGTTTAGGTTTGGGTTTAGGGTTTAGGGTTTAGGGTTTAGGGTTTAGGGTTTTAGGGTTTAGGGTTTAGGGTTTAGGGTTTAGGGTTTGGGGTTTGGGGTTTGGGGTTTAGGGTTTGGGGTTTAGGGTTTAGGGTTTAGGGTTTAGGGTCCATGGGGGCCCTGAAAGGGCTCCCTTGCCTCGAGTTTCGGATGCCTCCAACACTGACACGAAAACCTTGGCAGCCCAGGGGTACCCTTTTCCCAACTTTTTTGTCCAAGGTTCCCCTTGTAAAGCAACCAAGCCAGAACAAAAATGGGCACGCTGGTCATAATATGGTTACGGGGCTTCCAAGAAAATTAGGTCCGGTTACGGTTTCCCTTGCCATGCGCAAGTGCCTCAGATCTAGAGTGGGTAGCAGCACCTGCCAGCTTGCCACGTCCACATATGTAAGTCGAGCTGGCGTGCAGCATTTGTGCTCAAGTCGCTTGGTTGTGCTGTTTGCCCTAACTTCGTGGACACGGTGAATCCTACAAGCCATATGGGTGGTTGTCAAATCTATGGCCCCTTTTTGGATCCCTATTTTCATACGGCACCTAATATTTAGGGTACTCCACAAGCGATCATAATTTTGACAACCAACCACATAGCTCCTGAGCCCAAAGGGGGTTGAGGGACTGAAGCCCGAAACACCCCAGGTGCCCTGAGACCCAATGTCTGCCCATAGTTGGAATGAGGGAATGAGGTTCCCTATATCCGCCTATATTTACCCCTCAAGTGACTCAAGGGATTATGTAGGGTACCTAGCTCCCCCATTCCCTGCCAAAAACCCTAAATCCTAAACCCTAAACCCTAAACCCCCATTCCCTACTAAGAACCAGTTTTTTTCCATCGAAACTTAGAGAGTTCTCCGAGGAGAGCCCGACTGCTCCGACGCGGCCATAGGCTTCGTGCAGGCTGGCATCTCAGGCCGGCTCGCTTTGTCATTAGGGGTTTGGGGTTTAGGGTTTAGGGTTTAGGGTTTAGGGTTTAGGGTTTAGGCATCTCAGGCCGCTTAGTTTAGGGGTTTTAGGGGTTCAGGGCCGGTTTAGGGGCTTAGGGTTTAGGGGTTTAGGGTTTAGGGGTTTAGGGGTTTAGGGGTTTAGGGGTTAGGGGTTTAGGGGTTTAGGGGTTTAGGGGTTTAGGGGCTTCGGGGTTTAGGGGTTTAGGGGTTTAGGGTGCCGATCCCTTTTCCGACGACACCGCCAGGTCATGGGTGCTTCTTTGTCGCCCTTAGGGTAGGCCATTATTCCCCTTTTTAAGCGCTAGGTTACCTTATATACCCCTTTAAATCAAAACGAGGGTTTCGGGTTTAGGGTTTAGGGTTTAGGGTTTAGGGTTTAGGGTTTAGGGCTTAGGGAACTTTAAAACCAGAACCCTTAACCCCCAACCTTTGAGCTTAGTGAAGTGTGGAGGCACTCGTTGGCTTTATGATCGCGCTGGATTGGATGTGAGCCCCACGACGTTTACACCCTAAACCCCTGCAAAGCCCTAACCCTAAACCCCAAACCCCAAACCCTAAACCCCAAACCCTAAACCCCAATCCCTAAACCCCAAACCCTAAACCCTAAACCTGAACCCTAAACCGCCCCCCAACGATTAGCCGACCCCAATCCTTGCAAGGCGCACAGGCCGGCTACGAAGAGGCGAAGGCGGTGGACGGGGATCCCAACACGCCTTGGGCGGCTCGGCGAGTCTTTCGCTTGGGGTTTAGGGTATTTAGGGGAATTTAAGGTATGTAGGGTATGTAGAGTATTTTGGGTATTTAGGGTTTAGGGTATTTAGGGTAATTTAAGGTATGTAGGGTATGTAGAGTATTTAGGGTATTTAGGGTATTTAGGGTATCGAGGGTATTGAGGGTATTGAGGGTATTGAGGGTATTGAGGGTATTGAGGGTATTGAGGTTTTTTTAGGATTTTTAGGGTATTTAGGATTTTTAGGGTATTTAGGGTTCCTTTTAGGAAGGTCATCTTTTATGAGGGTGCCGTGCTATAGAGGGACCCTCAAGAGGGAGCCTGATTTAGAGAACCAACCATGTGCAGTCAGCATTTACGTTTTGAGCAAGGTATAGTAGAGAACAATATCGCGTAGGGTCGTAGAATATGGTCCATGTTCCCTCAAGGTTCTTCAACAAATCGCGGTTCACCTTCATGGGCCTTGAGATGCAGATCCTAAGGGGCCATCCTAAACCCTAAACCCGAAACCCTAAACCCTAAACCCTAGTTAAGCCATGAGGCAGTCCGTAGCGATCTTCGGGTTGGAGGATCTTGGGGCCACAAGTTTAGGGTTTAGGGTTTAGGGTTTAGGGTTTGGGGTTTCGGGGACAGGTGTCTTCGTGCTCCACTTGCTCGACAGGGCAGGCGCTCATCGGCGTCATAGGTGTGTGCCTTGGATTAAGTTCAGTGAATCCCAAGCCCTATAAACCCTAAACCCTAAACCTAAACCTTAAACCCGAAACCCTACAAACGTGCAGATCTTTTGTAGACGACTTAACGGAATCCAGGTATTGAAAGTGCTGAGAGCATCCTTTGTGATACGATCCGCTGCGATTGGTCTAGGGTTTAGGGTTTAGGGTTTAGGGTTTAGGGTTTAGGGTTTAGGGTTTAGGGTTTAGGGTAACCATGTTGCCGTCTTCGCTTGTCGTTCGGGTTTGGCAGTTTTCCTTGCAGCCTACACCGACTTGTGCCATTTGGGGTTCCCCCAACCCTGTGTCTTGGGGTTCCCCAAGCCCGCCTAGCGAACTTCCTTGCGTGTTCTTAGAGAAAGGGTTTTGGGCCTGACTTTGTTGTGACAGGACCCAAAATTCAAATCGTGTTTGCGAATCTGAGGTTTCAAGCCGGTTTAGGGTTTGAGTGGGCGAGTTCACCCCCGCGCTGCGGAGGTGAACCCTCGGCCCTAAACCCCAAGCCCAAAAATTGATCTCCAAACCACCCCAGCCCCTAAGCCCTAAGCCCTAAGCCCTAAGCCCTAAGCCCTAAGCCCTAAGCCCTAAGCCCTAAGCCCTAAGCCCTAAGCCCTAAGCCCTAAGCCCTAGCCCTAAGCCCTAAGCCCTAAGCCCTAAGCCCTAAGCCCTAAGCCCTAAGCCCTAAGCCCTAAACCCTAAACCCTAAACCCTAAACCCTAAACCCTAAACCCTAAACCCTAAACCCTAACCCTAAACCCTAAACCCTAAACCCTAAACCGTGACCCGAATTAAAGCCGGAAGCCACAGGTGCAAGCCGGAGGGGGTGCGGTGCGTTCAGCTGCGTTCCTTGATGTGATCAGGTTGGGGGGGTTTAGGGTTTAGGGTTTAGGGTTTGGGGTTTAGGGTTTAGGGTTTGGGGTTTAGGGTGTTTGGGGTTTAGGGTGTTTGGGGTTTAGGGTGTTTGGGATTTAGGGTGTTTGGGGTTTAGGGTGTTTGGGATTTAGGGTGTTTGGGGTTTAGGGTGTTGAGGGTGTTGAGGGTGTTAAGGGTGTTTAAGGTGCTGAGGATGTTTAGGGTTTGGAGTGTTGGGTTTTGTTGGGGGGGGGGGGGGATGCGGTTTCGAGTTATTGCCTGGCCCTATACGCAGACGCCCTGAGCCCGGATGTTTTGGGTTCGGAGCTTAGGGTTTCGGGCTTTTGGTCGTCTTGAGCCATTTTTTGGGGGAGTTAAACAGGCCGTGAGGTTTTGGGTTTTGGGTTCGGGGTTCAGGGTTTAGGGTTTAGGCGGATTCAGGAGTTCAGGGGTTCAGGGTTCAGTTATGGGCTCAGGGCTTCAGGGCCTTAGCTTTAAGTCTTTAGAGGTCCCTAAACCCTAAACCTATAAACCCTAAACCCTGACCCCTGAACCCTACACCCTAAACCCTAAACCCGAAACCCTACTTTGGCCGAGCCGAGGCTTAATGAAGGAGGGAGATCCAGGAAGGACAACTCAGGATGTCACGCAGCCTTCACACCGGGCCGCCGACGTCCAGGGTTGCCGAAGTCATCCCCAACAGTAAGCCCTGAACCGTAAGCCCTTTAAGGTTTAGGGTCTAAGGCCCTAAGCAAAGATCCTGAGCCCGAAGCCCGAAGCCCGAAACCTGATGCGATGGAGTCCCAGGCCAGTGCACCCTCAATCGCGGCGACTATGGTTGCCCACTTACGGCGTCTCGTGCTTCGCAGATCTCCCTGCTTGTCCAGGCCAGGCAAGTTTGGGCTGTAGGGATCAAGGGCTCTAGGCCATAAGACCCAAAGTGTGGGGGCTTCAGGGGTATGGAGATGTTTGAAGGTTTAGGGCTTCCGGGTTCAGAGGTCCTTGCAAGTTAAACCCCAGAACGGCCGGGATGCTCAAAGAAGCGGCATTCAAAGGCTGAAAGCGTAAATGTAAGAGCCTTCGGCTCAAGCCGCACCCCGCAAGAGAACCGTCCGGGAGCAAGAAGGTTGGGAGCAGCCCACAACCGTGCGGTTTTGGCTGGGTCCCACTCAGGTCTCAGATGCGTCAGGGGGGTCCCAGGAGTCCCAAGCAGGTCCCATCCCATTTATCTTCCTCTAGCCGGCTGGAACCTACGTGTACTTCTTACCCTGCGCCTTTTTTTCGACTCGCTCGGTCTCAGGCAGGTCCCAGGGGTTTTTTCAAGGGGGATCCCTGGCAGCTTGTCAGGTAAGGAGGGAAAAAGGGAGCTTTCACCTCCAAGACCCATCCAACACGCAAGGGTCAAGCCGAAGCCTAAACCCTCAACCCCATAAACCCTAAACCCCTGAACCCCTGAACCCCAAACCCTCAACCCCTAAACCCCAAACCCCAACCCAAACCCCAAACCCCTATAAACCCTAAACCCTAAACCCTAAACCCTACACCCTAAACCCTAAACCCTAAATTCCCAACCCTAAATCCTGAACCCTAACCCTAAACCCTAAAAACGCCACCCAGCCAGGGCCAGCACACCTTCACCTGGAGGGTGATGCAGGGCCAGACGAATGCGGTCACACCGGCCTTGGAGCAAGAGCTGCGCCTCGATTGAGGGGAGAGACCATACTTAGGGTTTAGGGTTTAGGGTTTAGGGTTTAGGGTTTAGGGTTTAGGGTTTAGGGTTTAGGGTTTAGGGTTTAGGGTTTAGGGTTTAGGGTTATAGGGATCAGGGTAACCCTAGGGTTCACGGTTTGGGTTTAGGGCTTGAGTTTGTGTGGGGTGTTTGGGCTCTAGGTTTTTGAGCCTTAAGGGTCTTAACTACTTCTTTGGTCTCTTGGTCCACCGAATTCACTGCGCCTTGTTCCTCCAACCCCTAAAGCAACACACTCAAGAGCTCTAAACCTGAAAAGCCCTAAGCCCCAAGCCCTAAAACCTAAGCCCCAAACCCCAAGCCCTAAACCCTAAACCCCAAACCCTAAACCCTAAACCCCAAGCCCTAAACCCCAGGCCCCAAACCCGAAACCCCAAGACCCTAGACCACAATTTGGGTCGGGCGTTCCATCTCAGGCTCTCGGTGCCCAGCCGCCGTCGCCGGGCAACCCTCTCTGCGCCGCCCTCAGGGTTTAGGGTTTAGGGTTTAGGGTTTAGGGTTTAGGGTTGGAGGTTCAGCGTTTGGGTTTCCAGGTGTCAGGGTTTGGAGGTCAGGGTTTCAGGGTTTGGGGGTTTGGGGTTCAGGTTTCGGCGCTAGGCATCGCTAGGCTGTAGGACTGCGCCCGTTGGGGTTTAGGGATTAGGGCCTTGACGTTTTCAGCTCAGTGGAGCTGGTACACGGTCATTCCGATCAGAAGCCACGCTGCTTCGTATTCCCTTCTGAAACTCAGGGGCGCCCCGGGCCAATGGTGTCGATGCATACCTGAAAAACCAAACTTGTATGTGGCGCCATATACATGACATGTGTAGGACCTCAAAACAATCAATCGGGATGTCACCCTTCTGTGGTACCAACATGGCCACGCAGCCGGAGAGCTCCCATGGAACAAGGGAGCTACGGCAGAACACGGAACATACCGTGTAAGTTGTGGGAAGGGTTGAGAAAGCATGTGCCACCAAGGCATGTCTCACCTAGCGCCGAACAGGGAGATGCCACGCAACAAGAGCCTTTGCCCTCGTCTGATTTAGGGTTTAGGGTTTAGGGTTTAGGGTTTAGGGTTTAGGGCTAGGGTTTAGGGTTTAGGGTTTAGGGTTTAGGGTTTAGGGTTTAGGGTTTAGGGTTTAGGGTTTAGGGTTTAGGGTTTAGGGTTTAGGGTTTAGGGTTTAGGGTTTAGGGTTTAGGGCAGCTCCAAGCAGTGGGCCTCAAGCCATGCAGTGGATGTAAGTGCACGTTCTTGGGTTGGGATGGTGGACCTTGAAGCCCGAAGCATACGCCTCGCCCAGGGCGCAAGCCTAAGCTCCGCAAAGCTTACAGTCCCTAAACCCTAAACCCTCAACCCTAAACCCTAAACCCTAAACCCTAAACTTTTAAACCGTAAACCCTAAACCCTAAACCCTAAACCCTAAACCCTAAACCCTAAACCCCAGAATATGAAGCCCTAGTTACGGCCCTCACCCAGTATACGGCCCTCAATACCTGCCAGGCCTTCGTGGACGTTTCCTACCAAGTGCAGCTCCTTGGATCATGAACAACATATGGGGTTTAGGGTTTAGGGTTTAGGGTTTAGGGTTTAGGGTTTAGGGATTAGGGTTTAGGGTTCAGGGTTTAGGGTTATTTCCCAAAATAGTTGTACCCCTTTTGTACCCCAAATAGAATCCTCTTAAAGCGACCCCCACGAAGGGTAACCCCTAGTTTCGAAAACCCGCATCTTAGGCCCTGAGCCTTCACCCTCACAGGCCCTGTAAGCGTCCTAAACTACTTCTATGCCTTCCCTTATGGTGCCTATCACGGTTACCATAATCCTAGGTAAGAACGCGGATCTCTAGGCAGGCCCTAAGCCCTTTGACCCTAAACCCTATGAACCCTATGAACCCTATGAACCCTATGAACCCTATGAAGCCTATGAAGCCTATGAACCCTATGAACCCTAGTGAACGCGAGTGAACCCCAGGAACCCTAGGAACCCTAGGAACCCTAGGAACCCTATGAACCCTATGAATCCTATGAACCCTATGAACCCTATGAACCCTACGTCCGAAAAACCTCTCTGTCCCGTCGTCGCCAACTGCAGGTCCGATGCGGTGGTGAACCCGGCCTTCAGTTCGCGGTGAACCTCGCTGCGAGCAGATGCAAAAGGAAAACCGCTTCAGGGGTTTAGGGCTTTACGGGGTTTGGGGTTAACGTCGAGGGTTTAGGGTTCAGGGTTATAGGGTTTAGGGTTAGGGGGTTTTGGGTTTAGGGTTTAAGGGTTTAGGGTTGTTGGGGCAAGCCCCAACCCCTCCCCAAACCCCCTGAATCCCCGAACGCCCTATAAGCCCTAAACCCTAAACCCTGAACCCTAAACCCTGAACCCGAAACCCTAAACCCTAAACCCTAAACCCCCTTGTAGACCCTCTAAGCCCACAACTCTCGCAGCCCTCGGCTCCATGGAGGGGGTTTAGTTACATCTGCGTGGCCGACCAGGCGCACCTGGGGGGTGTTTAGGGTTTAGGGTTTAGGGTTTAGGGTTTAGGGTTTAGGGTTTAGGGTTTAGGGTTTAGGGTTTAGGGTTTAGGGTTTAGGGCCCTTGAGGGTGTGGGCTTTGTTGTCATTCGGTTTGGGTTCTTGCTAGTCTTCTTTCGGGTGTTTAGGGTTCAGGAGTTAGGGCTCATGCCTAGCCCCGGAGCCCCGAACCTTAAAACGCCCAAAGCAGCCCGAGAACCTTAAGCCCTAAGCACCCCAACACCCCAAAGCCAACAGTTCCTTGATCCTCTCCACCCTCAGACCCTCAAACCCTTAACGATGAAACCCTAAAAGGCCCTGAAGAGCAACCCTAACCCTTTGAACACCACAGCCGCCGCAAAAGCAACCTGAAATCGGCCCTAAACCCTACACCCAAAACCCCAAACCCTAAACCCTAAACCCTAAACCCCAAACCCTAAACCCGAATCTTGAAACCCCAAGCGCCTCCCCAACAGGCCATGATCAACTCGCCCGACCACAAGACCGAGCTGAATCAGATGGGGCCTGAGCAGAAAACTTCAAAGCGGTTTGGGTTGGGTTCAGGGTTTAGGGTTTAGGGTTTCGGGTTTAGGGTTTAGGGTTTAGGGCTGATGGAGTGTAGGAGCTAGCGGTGGCTTTAGGGCTCAAGGTTCAGGCTTTTTGGGGGTTTAGGGTTTAGTGAGGCTGTATTTAGGCGTTGTTGGGTTTAGGGTTTGAAGGCGCGAGGGGTCTAGTTTCGGGCTAGGGTTTCGCTACCTTTTGGCTCCCCCAAGACAAAAACGGAACCCGCAGCCCTTAGTTGAAGAGCATTGCTGCTCTTTGGGACAAACCCTAAACCCGAAACCCTAAACCCTAAACCCTAAGCCCTAAACCCTAAGCCCTAAACCCCAAAACCCTAAACCCTAAACCCTAAACCCTAAACCCTAAACCCGAATCCCTAAACCCTAAACCCTAGACCCTAAACCCTAAACCCCAAATCCTAAGCATTCCGGAGCTCCTGCGGCTGTCGGTTTCTGTGATCCAAGAACCCCCCTCCTCCAGACACTTCAAACCCTCCTAGAAGACCGAAACCCCCCGCAAATCCCTAAAGAAATAGCCCCCCCAAAGCAACTCAGAATTCAGGTTTAGGGTTTAGGGTTTATATAGGTTCAGAGGGTGTATGGTTTAGGCTGTAAACGGGCGAGTCCTTTGGGGGCTTTAGGGTTTCGGGCTATTGGGTTGCTGGGATGAGGCTCTCACACAACCGGCTTTTTTTGTGGAGTTCAGGGTTTAGGCTGCATGTACGGAGGTCCTAGACCCTAACCCTAGACCCTAACCCTAAACCCTAAGCCCTAAACCCTAGACGCTAAACTCTAAACTTTTCCCCTAAACCCTACCCCCTAACCTCAACTCCACGCCCTCTCCGCTGGAGCCACAGGTTTGTGCAAAAGTATCTCAAGAGACCCCTGTCGAAGACCGACATTGCGAGAGCCTCAGCTCCCTGGGTGGGGTGGAGGCTTCATTGGCCAACCGAGTCCCTAAACCCTAAACCCTAAACCCTAAGCCCTAAACCCTAAACCCCAGACCCTAGACCCTAAACCCTAGACCCTAAACCCTAAACCCTAAACCCTAAACCCTAAACCCTGAACCCCTCAACCCCTCAACCCTGAACCCTGAACCCTGAACCCTGAACCCTGAACCCCTGAACCCCTGAACCCCTGAACCCTGAACCCTGAACCCTGAACCCTAAACCCTGAACCCTGAACCCTGAACCCTGAACCCTGAACCCTGAACCCTGAACCCTGAAGGGTGGGTTTAGGGTTTGGGGTTTAGGGTTTCGGGTTTAGGGTTTAGCCCTCCGCCTAAGCGTTACGCCGCACTGGGCATGCTGGAAGTCGTGTAAATGCCACCCCCAAAACCCCCTCGGACCCTTCAAAGTTTCGAGCCCTCGTTACCAGTCCGTGCGATTGGCCAGAGCATCCATGCCCGCACGATGAGTGGAGGGGGACTGGGAACGTCCGAAATGGTAGCATCCATGTTTTGCGCTGCCGGCCCTCAACCCTTACCACTGAACTCTTAACCCTCCAACCCTAAACCCTTAACCCCACATCCTGCATCCTCTGCCCTTTTCAGTTCCTGCTAATGTTGGCATTCCGCCTGGTGCCGACGTCTTCAGCAAATTCCCACTGACCCTGAAACCGAAGAGACGGCAGGCAAAAGGTTGCAGCTTTCTGATGCTGGCCTTGTCTTTTAGGGCCTGTGATTTGGTACGTCTTCTGAGGTTTGGGGCCCGACACATGCAAGCCCCAAGAAGTACCCTGAAACATACTGAGGTTTGGGGCCCGACACATGCAAGCCCCAAGAAGTACCCTGAAAAATGCACGTAAAAAGTACTGTACACAACTTTTGTGTTTTCGTGACTTTAGAAGTAGGCTCCCGCCTAGGCGAAACAGTCAACATCGATAAAAAGAGCCCGCCCGTCGAGGAATCTGTGCTGTTTCTTCCTGGATCCCAAAACCGGAATCAGTTCAAGACCTAGGTTTTGTGCACATTTGAGAGCTTGAGCAGGTCCCAATGCATGCCAAAAACGCAGGGCACACCAGAATGCGTGTTACCTTGTTTTTTTGGCCTCGCCGCACTGCTTCTTTTGCTGGGGAGCCCGAAGGGGATCGGTGCCCACTACGTGGAAAATATGTTCTTCCGAAGCTGTTCTTGTCGGTGGTTCGGTTTTTCCTGAAGTCTTTCCGAGTGCTGTGATGTAGACTAATAAACCGTATGGACTGCCTATATACAAGTTCGCTCTTTTTCGGAAACCACGAACTTCGCAAATGACACTTTCCAAGCCTGCGTAAGTGCCGGAAGTACTGTAAATACCGAGTAAGACGCAATTTTTCCAGTCTGCTCGCAAATCCTCCACGGGGTCTGGGTGTTTGAGGTTTACCCTAAACCCTTTTTTACCCTAAACCCTTTTACCCTAAGCCCTGAACCCTAAACCCTACACCCTAAACCCTAAACCCAAAACCCTAAACCCAAAACCCTAAACCCTAAACCCTAAACCCTAAACCCACCCTAAACCCTAAACCCTAAACCCTATAAACCCCAAACCCTAAACCGCGACGTCCCCTTCGACCTGATGGCGGGGCTGCCTCGCCGTTCTCCTGGCTTTGGCCAAACTGTGAGAGTCCACCTCTCGTGATTTTCGGCGCGAAAGCAATTTTTGGGCACGGTTTAGGGTTTAGGGTTTAGGGTTTAGGGCTTAGGGTTTAGGGTTTAGGGTTTAGGGTTTAGGGTTTAGGGTTTAGGGCTTTGGGTTTAGATACCCAAACATCATGCCTTTGGGTTAGGAGGCCTCTGCGATTGCCGCGCATGAGTTGCCTCTGCTGCTGAGGGGGAGAGAGAGAGAGAGAGAGAGAGAGAGAGAGGACAGGGGATGAGGAACGGAGACGACGCGACAAGAGGAAGAGCAGAAGAGGCAACAAACCCTAAACCCTAATCCCGAAGTCCCTAACCTTTCAATCCGACACCCTATGCCATGATCAGGCGCCATGATCATGCGCACATTCTCGGGTGCGTGTCGTGCGTGACATCTGTTATTCTTGCTGTGTGTGTGTGTGTGTGTGTGTGTGTGTGACACGTGTCTGCATTCGGGTCCGTGGCTCCTCTCCGGTGTGTATGGGGGGGGGGGGGGGGGGGGGCCGGGGCTTGGATGGATTCAGAGTTTAGAGTTTCGGTTAGGGGGTTTAAGGGTGTAGGGGGTTAGGGTTTAGGGTAGGGGGTGTAGGGTGTCGGGGGTGGTGTAGGGGGTGTAGGGGGTGTAGGGGGTGTAGGGGGTGTAGGGGGTGTAGGGGGGTGTAGGGGTGTGTAGGGTTTAGGGTTTAGGGTTTAGGGTTTAGGGTTTAGGGTTTAGGGTTTAGGGTTTAGGGTTTAGGGTTTAGGGTTTAGGGTTTAGGGTTTAGGGTTTAGGGTTTAGGGACGCCCAGGTCTACTCCGTGAGCAAGTTCGGGGCGCAATGCCAAGCTGTTGTCAAGCTGAATGCCCTGGATGGCCACCCGACTTTTAGGGTTTAGGGTTTAGGGTTAGGGTTTAGGGTTTAGGGTTTAGGGTTTAGGGTTTAGGGTTAAGGGCTTAGGGTTTGGGGCTGAGGTCTTCCTGAGCTTGAAGCCTTGTAAGCCTGCCGTAACACCACTGCTGCTAGGCCATACCGACTCCCAAACTTTTGCGGCTTCGGGTTCGGTGTTTGGTGCCCCCCCCCCGCGGGCAAAAAGCAAGGGTTTAGGGTTTAGGGTTTGGGGTTTGGGGTTTAGGGTTTAGGGTTTAGGGTTTAGGGTTGATATTCAGCAAGTAAAACGAACAGTGTAAAATGCATCAATGGTCGTGACACAGATGCTGTCACTCACCTGCAGCCCTTATGAATTGTGGGTCTGTGCCATGTCTTTGAGGCTTTGGTTACCTGAAACACACATGACAGGGTTTTGGATTTAGGGTTTAAGGTGTTTTTGGGGATTAGGGTTTAGGGTGTTTTTTGGGATTAGGGTTTCAGGCTTCCTCCGCTCCCACCCCACCACCGTGTCGCCTTGCGTTTTGCGATCTTTCTGAAGCAGTCTTCGTCCTTCACCCTCTAGCCTTAAACCCGACCCTAAACCCTGAACCC